AGAAATAGTTTTACAAATCACACTTCTCAAGAGTGTGATTTAGGGCAGAAAAATAGAGGGTTTAGTGAGGTAATTGATGATTTTCATTATCAAGCCTCTATTCTATGTGATTTTTAAATTATGGACATTAAATAAAACAAAACGAGACAGTATGAAATACTGGAGATTATGCCAAACTGCTGACATAGACTACCATAACTAGTGTTACAAATACATACTCATAATTATGCTGAACACATTATAACTATCTTGTATCAAACAGAAATGTACTAATTCCCTCCCCAGAATGGAAGGTTAGTTTTCTTTGGGTGGTGCTTGCTTTTATCATTTTATAACTTGAAATTATAATACAGGTTTAACAATCCTTAAGGAAAAGTATTAAGTATATCAGCACTATATTACATTAGAAACGTATTAGGAGAGAAATAGTACAATTACAATCCTCTTTTCTGTAGCTGATCATAGAGTCATAGCTGGTATTTAAAACTACCTTCTTTCACTACCCATTCTGTATTCTCTTGACCTTCAGCAACCACCTCAGCAGGTCTTAGCAGGTCTTATTCTTTCCCTGGTGGAGTGACCCATACTATCATTCCTGAAGGCTCTGGACTATTTGTCATTCTGCCTGAATTAGGTTATTGTAGTTTCCCATTGACTTTAATAACAGGGCATGGTAATACTAAGAGGCACCCTAGGGATCTCTTGCACTCTGTATATGTTCTTCCTTTCTTCCATTGTGAAGTAATAGTCCAGTTTCCCCTTGATAGTCTGTGTCAGTCACCCTTGACATCACTGTGTAACTCCCTTTTTGGCTTATTTCCTGAGAAGCATCTTCCCCTGGCAGGAGGTCAAAATGACCAGGGGAAAGTCTTAGCTTCCAGTTTAGTGGTATCATTGTTGTGCTTCCTGGTACAAGCCTTGCCCCCTCTGGAACTAAGACTTCTAAGCCAGCAGAACATAGATCACAGGAACAGGAAGCAAAAATTTTGCTAGTTGATCACTGGGGGTAATGGCGAGTGGTACCATTCCCACTTTCACCCTTTGATTCCTGGACCTGTGAATCTTGGCCATGGGAGATACAGTACCATATAATATATGCTGATTCAAAACATGTACAGCCTTTTGAAGTACCTTACCCTAACCTTGCAAGCTATTACTATCTAGCTGGCACTGTAACGGTGTCTTTAAAAGACCATTCCATCTTTCTCTAAATCTAGACACTTCTGGATGGTGAGGAACATGGTAAAACCAGTGGATTTCATGAGCGTGAACCCATTGCCTCACTTCTTTGGCTATAAAATGTGTTCCTTGGTCAGAGACAATGCTATGTGGAATTCTGTGATGGTAGATGAGGCATTCTCTGAGTCCACAGATGGTAGTTTTGGCAGAAGGAGTATATGCAGTGAAGGCAAATCCATATTCAGAATATGTATCTATGCCAGGGAGAGCAAAGCAGTCTCTTCCATAATGGAAGTGGTCCAGTATAATCAACCTGCCACCAGGTCACAGGTTGATCACCCCCAGCGAGTGGTGCCATATTGCAGGTTCAGTTTTGGTCTCTGTTGCAGCTGTATTGAGCATTCAGCAGTAGCTGTAGCCAGATCAGCCTTGGTGAGTAGGAGTCCATGTTGCTGAGCCCATACATAACCTCCATCTCTGCCACCATGACCATTCTGTTCTTGGGCCCACTGGGCAATGACAGGAGTGGCTTAAGAAGCCACTGTGGTGATTTCCCTTCACCACGGTCCTTCAGGGATATTCTAGAAAGGGGCTGGAATGCTGCAGCTGTCCACTTCTGGGTGGTACCTGTATAACATATAGAGCCATTCGTAAACCAGACCCTAGCCTTCTCTTCCCCTGACAGCTGATCATACGGTATACCCCACAAGGCCATACGTGCTTTCTAGGAAACAGGAAATATAGCAGGCGTAGGAGCCATAGGTATCTGGGCAACTTCCTCATGTAATTTACTTGTACTCTCTGGACCTGCCCTGGCTCAATTACAAATATAGCATTTCCATTTAATGATAGACTGTTGCTGTGCACGTCCAATCTTAGAACTTGGTGGATCAGATAATACCTAGGCTGTGATAGGCAGCTCAGGTTACATAGTGACCTGGTGTCCTACGGGCAGTCATTCAGTTTCCACTAAGGCCCAGTAGCAGGCCAAGAGCTGTTCTTCAAAGGGAGAATAATTGTCTGTAGATGATGGCAGAGCCTTGCTCCAAGTTCTTAAAGGCCTCTGCTGCAGTTCACCTATGGGGGCCTGCCAGAGACTCCACACAGCATCTTTACCTGCAACTGCCACTTCAAGACCATTGAATCTGCTGCATGATATGGCCCCAGTAGGAGAGCAACCTGCACAGTGGCCTGGATCTGTTGTAGATCCTTTTCATGTTCTGAGCCCCACTCAAAACCAGCAGCTTTCCAAGTCACTCAGTGAATGGACTGGAGTAAGAGACCTAAGTGAGGAATGTGTTGCCTCAAAAATCCAAATAGGCCTACTAGGCATGCCTCTTTTTCAGTTGTAGGAGCAACCAGATGCAACAACTTACCTTTTACCTTAGAAAGAGAATCTCGGGGCTGGGGATTTAGCTCAGTGGCACAGCACCTGCCTGGCAAGCTCAAGGTCGTGAATTCGATTCCCGGTACCGGAAGAAAAACGAAAAAAAAAAAAGGAGTATTTCTACATGCCCCACACCACTAGACTCAGAAATTGTACTGAGGTAGAATGACCTTGAATTTTTGTTTGATCTATTTCTCATCCTCTGGTTCTCAAATGCTTTATTAATAAATCCAGAGTGGTTGCTACCTCCTGCTCACTTGGCCCAATCAGCATAACATCATCAGTGTAATGGACCAGTGTTGTTTAGTGTATTCATTTTGAATGGAGTATATTTAAGTTTATATTTGACAAGAAAAGTCTATTCTTTTTGTCTTTTTGAGACAGGGTCTTGCTCTGCAGTTCAGGCTGGCCTTGTGCTTACTTTGTAGCCCAGGCTGGCCTCGAATTCCCAACAATTCTCTTGCTTTAGCCCCCCAAGTGCCGGGATTACAGACATGTGCCACCACGCTCAGCTGAAAAGTTTATTCTTAGAGCAGCTAAGTAACTTGAATGATTAAAATCATTGTCTAGTATATGTAGTGGTATTCATAATTTTTATAGGGTGACAGTTATGTTCTTTAGAAGCTATAAGGCTTGTGCATTTAAAGCACTTAACTATGGCATTGTATTACCTTAATAAATATAGTTTCTAGTTTTTGGTTTTTGGGTTTTTTAACTTCAGAAATTGGGTGCCAGTATGTCTGAATCATATGACTGCAAATGCACGTTAGTGTAGTAGTTTGGAGAAACTGAAGGGGCTTTGTGCTTACTATACTAGTTTAGGAACAGGAGAAAGCACTGAGCATTGTCTGTATCTGCTCTGTTCTCTGTTTCCTTTAATCCTGTTTACTGAGAAACCCTAAAACATCATCCACCCAACCCATCAGTATTTTCTAGGGTAAACTGTGGTGAGCTTTTGGTATTTTTTGTGTTGAATCATCTCAAACACATGTACTCAAGCACTTTGAGCCTGCGGTCAGTTATTGAGGGGTGCAGAGAATTGTGAGACTGTCATATGGGAAGTTTTAAGGCATAAATGCACACTCGTTTAAATGACTGCAGGACAAGAATAGAATCCAGCAGGTGTGGTCTGCTCTGATCTAGGACCTGAAGCCAAGTATAGAAAGAGTGTTAGAGTTGGACTGGCTTTGTGGTGTAGGGAAAATCTCCAGTACCAAAAGTACCAAAAGACCTTGAAGATAAAAAATGATCCTTCTGCCTCAGCCTCCCTAAGTAGCTGGGACTATAGGGATGTGCTAGTGCCACACCTGGCCAAATATTTTTTATGATCAATAACCAGGCATTAAATTTTTTTGAGCAGGCAGATATGGCTGGTGACTGTGTAGGGTAAATTGAAAACTACAGGGCATAAAGACCAATTTTTTCATGTTTTCTTTGCTTTAATGAGAGACTATGAGTTATGTTTCAAATAAAAGTGTTTAAAAGCCTACAGTTTATAAACTCACAAAACATTTCCATAAAGTCAAATGTACTTGTAATGAGCACAAAAGTATTCAAACAATTCATAACTATGTAGTTTGGGCTTTGATGTACTCAGACTAGCTTGAATTCTGATTTTCCTTCTCAGCTATCTTAAAGTTGAACAAATTCTTACACCTTTCTAATCTTTACTGTTCATCTGTAGAGGAGAGCTAGCAATAGTACCATCTCAAGGGTATAAGCATTACATATTTGAACAATAATGCATGTAGCAACTGCCTGACAGATAGTAAACATCTATGATGAATACTTTTGCTGCCATTAATTACTGTTATTATCATTATTTTTTTATTTTAAAAATAAATGAAGGAAAACTTTAATAAACAGCCATTTACAAAATAGCAGAAGAACAATACAAACAATACAGAGTTATGAACAAAGTGGTAGGAAATTAACAATGCTTGTTGTATTACATATTGATATCTTCAAAGTGGTTTCTCATGAAAACGAATAGAGACATGCAATATTGATCAAGGAATCATTAACTGTTTCTTTCAGCAAAGAAATAGAAGACAGTAGTTCAACTATGTTAACTATCCTGTATATACATACAAATGGAAAGAGGAAAACTCTTTCCATTTGGTCCAAAGACCCTCTCTCTCCTTCTCCAACTAAACCTCAAGGCCTACTGGCTGCCTGTATATTTCCCTTTGTTCTGTCCTGTCTTGTCAGCGAGGGCGTAACAAAATCCAAGACTGCTGGGTGCTACAGAGAAGGTACCACTTGCTGCCTGTTACAGGGAAGTGTAATAAGCTTTGATTTTCTAGAGCACATGCAATATTAGGTATTTTATTTTGCTTTGTGTGTGTGGCTTTTTTAAAATACAGGTAGGTTTGGTTATGCTTTAAGCTGTGGTGTATATTCATAAATTTACACTTACCTTTACTTTTATCAGGTTTAAGCCATTTTTTCCATACCAAACATTGCAAGGATTTGAAGAAGACGAAGAACATATCCATATACAACATTGGGCACTTACTGAAGGTCGTCTTAAAGTAACATTGTTGGAATGCAGCAGGTATGGCCTTTTTTTTGTCATTACTACATTATGAGAAAGAAGGAATGGTGAAAATGTACTTATGCAGTATTTATGTTTATTCCCTTTTGTGTTAATTTATAGTATATTATTTACCTGTAAATTCTTGAATCATAAGTTTAGTAAAAGTAGTCATTTTTAGCTTATAAAAATATGAACCATATTTTAGAAAATACTCTCGTGGAGAAAGCAGTTATTCTATTGTAATTCTCAAACTTTTTAGGTGCATAATGCTATTGCCATATATTTAACTTACTCTATTGAGTTATTCCTAGCATAATAGTTGTTGTTTTCTGTTGTTTTTGTTCATTTTGTTTGGTTTTTTGAGTTTTTCTTTGAGACAGGGTCTTGCTAAGTAGTTCAGGCTGGCCTTGAACTCAGTATGTAGCCCAACCTGGCTCAAACTCTTAGCAGTTCTGCCCCAGGCTCCCAAGTGCTGGGATTATAGATGTACATCACCATGCCCAGCTCTGCCATAACAGTTTTGAGAATTGTTACAATACTCAGAAAATTTGCTTACCTAGACTTTGAACCCCTGTGTGTTCAGAAATAATTTTTCCTCATCTCTTCATTTCACCCCCATGGCGGTCCAAGCTATTTTCATATCTCACGTGAACTACTGAACTACACTAGCTTTCTTACCTACTAACACTTTAGTCCCAGTATTACAGTCAGAAGGATCTTTTCAAAATACGAATGTAATTTGTTAGTGTGCTACTTACAAGTCTTCAATAGTTTCACCACTGCTTTTAGGATGTAGATCCAAATACCTTGATTACAAGTCTCATTCTTTCTTTCTAACCATCATCTGCTCAACCTTTCATTCATAGTGCGTTAGCCACATAAACCTTACTAAGAGAAGGGATTGACAGATTTCTCTAAAGGCTCAGATAGTAAATATATTAGGCTGTATGATTTACATGGTCTCTATTGCAATTACTGAACTCTACAGTATAGTGCAAAAGCAGTCAGACAATATGTAAAGAATGGGAGTGACTGGCAATAAACTTTATAAATTTCATAATTTTCATGCGTCATAAAGTGTTTTTTTGACTTTTTTCCAACCATTTAAAAACATAAAAACCACTAGTAGCTAAAATAGGCAGTGAGATAGATTTGGACCACAGGCTATAGTTTGCTTGCTATTCCCTGCTTAAATATTTTAAAGTATCAAGCTCTTTATGTTGACTCTCACTGGTTTCCTGACCTACCTTATTTTCTGTTTCTTGACCAACTTTTCCTGGTTTAGCTCAACAGCTACTTCTTACTAGTCTTGATTTCTCTCTTAATCATATGAAGTACAAATATACTGTCTGTATGCTACATTTCTATGATACTTATTCATACCACTTACTTGATACTTACCACTTTTGATTTTTATTTCCAACCTATAATAAAATAAGTACTTGGGTACCACCAAGGTTATATTTCAGTCATGAGGTGACTGAGGATTATATATCATTGTCAGGAAGCCTAGCTGATAAATAATTCTTTTATTAAAGAATGAGTGTGCTGTATATTTTATAAAACAAACTGTAGTGTACAATAAAATAAATGTAATAGGAACTATGCTCAGTATTTACAAAAACTAGTTATTTGCCTTTGTGGTGCTGGTGGGGTTAAGGATTGATTAAGTGGCTGTTAACTTCATAGCTGTTTGACTATTACTTTTGGTATTACCTTTGCTCACCATTCTCTTACTTTACCTGTAATATTGCTCACTTAAAGCAGTACTGCTTGGTTTTTTGTGACCATGTCATCTGGTCAAAAAATAAAGACAAGTACTGCTTGAAAGTTCATAACTGAGTACCATTCTCTGAAGATAAAAGCATGGAAAATAGCCTCTTTTCTCAGTATGTTCTTACAGTAGTTCTTACATTAGTCCATTAGTATTATGTATTACATTAGTCTTGTAAGTTTGGATTATGTAGCCAGTACCTTTATTGAGATACATTATGTGCTGGATATTGCATCTCTTTCTTTAGCTCCACTAGATTTTTATTAGTGCCTTCTCTAGAATCACTGATCACTTGTTTCATTAAGGTCATTATCTGATTAGTTATATTTTCTTTAAATTCAGCAGGCACCTTATTGAACTGTTTTACTTCTGTTGATACCTTTTCAGACCTTTCTGTTGTCTGACTTATGATTTCCTCCCCTTCATTGCCCCCTGAAGTGGTTTGGGGGGTGTAGGAACTTTTGGAAACATTTTGTTGCCTTGTTTTTCCATGTTTCTATTTTTGTTTTTTGTGCTGTGGTTTGTGGCTTCTTTGGTCCAGTGTCAAATTCTTTGCAAGTAAGCTACAGTATTATTTATGATCCCCAGGCAATCCAGATATTGGCAAACAGAAAACCAATTGACAGCAACAAGTATGACTTAGTGCTAGTATTAAAGTCAGCAACAGCAGTGGCATCATATATCAACTGGATACTGACAAACTCTAAAAACCACTCATAAACTGCCCTTAAGCAGAGCAAAGAAGTCTATGATTTTAATGAAGATACTTAAGCCACCCAAATATTGACCTATAATAATTCAGACCGTTAATTTCTGGTGAATGTAGGCAGCAGTGCAAGAGCTCAAGCATAGTACTGGACTAAATGTCATCTACTACATACATGTCCATCCCCACTGACTATAATAACCACCAAATTTGGTCTTCCACCACAGTCTACAGGGCCCAAGAGCTTCCCTTAACTGACAAAATGGATATCTAAGGTCTAACAAGGTGATAGAGTATATACAGATAACTGAGCTGAAGGTTTCCAGTATTCTTAAGACAAAATAAAATACAAAAAATGCATATTTGTTATAGATAATAAATTCTGTTCCTTCCAAATTTTTCTGACAAGAGATCCCTGCTAATTGACAACAAAATCTAACTAGTCTACTTATATAAATTGTAAATTTCTAGAATTGTAATAGAGTTACTGTAATTCAGTTTGGTCAAAAATATATTTGAGTACACTCTGATTTTGTAAATAAGTTATTTTGTTCTGTGTACTTGTTTATGTGTTTGTTATTCTGTGAACAGCTGTTCCCCTTTTTATTTGAACTCAACAATTTTTCTTTTATCATTTGTTCATAATACAGTATAGGTTATAGACTTAAAAGTATGCATTCACCTGATTTTGCAGCTGGTTTAAATGATATCAGAATTGGCTTTTTCACAGCTCATCAAAATTAAGATATCCACAGTCCTTAGAGTGAGGAGAAATTATTGGGCAGGACTACAGCTGGTGAATAGAGAAGTAGCCAACCTTTATTCATTAATAAGGAGCCCCCAATGATCTCCAGAGTCTTGGGAGACACCCCAATAATTTGATCATTTGGTGAAAGAAAGTTTTTCAGTAAAAATTAAAATAAGGTTTTCTCATAAAAGATGCTCTTGATACAAAACTAAACTAAAAAACAAAGGTTTTCATATGTGTATGGTAATTCATTAATGTTAATCTCATCATGTATTAAATGTATTCATGATTCCAGATGTACAGGTCTTTCAAAATGTAAAACAAAGATTCTTTATTGTGATCAGACTTTCCTTCAGATTCAGACCTCTGCCTTTAACAAAAAACTTGCAATGTATATCCTATTAAAGGACAACTAATGAGGTAAAAGCTGCTTATGTATTAGATAATGTCAAAATGAAAATTTAAGTATATTACAAAATGTCATGGCTGTCATGTAGCAATGTTATATATAGTTTTGACTTCTAAATTTCTGTGTAAAAATATGTAACTGTTGTCTGTTAACATTCTATTAGGATTTAAATATTGGGATATCCAGGGTTGTTAAAAATAACATTTCTGTTTTATGTTCTAAGGTGTTCGCTGTTCAGATCAGATAGTAATGTTAAGCTTATTGCCTCCATTACAATGTAATGTCATTAATTTTGTCTTCTGGATGTTTAACAACTGAGGTTTAGAGACCAAAAATTAGATTAATTGGGCTAAAAAATATAGCCAATATTTTGGTTTTCACTGTCCAGGGTCAATAAAGATTCAGGACATAAAAAAACCTCTGGTGCAACATCCTAATAATTCAACTGAGTCTGATTTTCTGATCAAGGAGATTCTGAGATCACAGAGGAAAGTGATTCCATGATGTAGTGTGCCTAAGGAGAGTCGCCAAAAGAAAAAAATCTCAAGCTTTCACAGAAAGCAGCTTGGTCAAGCAATGGCCATGACTCATCCAGATGGCTGACACTGACAAAAGATCTAGAGGTGCAAGGTGATTCCTAAGGAGACTTAACTGACCTTGATAGATAACAAGTTAAATTTTTATTTATAAAAGTCTCACTTCAACTTGGTCTTAAACATCCAGCAAAAAAGTGTAACCACAAGATATATAAAAGCAATACCATAATAATGTGTTGGCTATAAAAGGTTCAAATTACCAACAACTTCTGACAGTTGCCAGCTAAACTGATAAGTGACCACTGTTAGTGGATTTTGGATTATATTCTTCAAGCACAGCTTTTCTAGCTTCAACTAAACACCCATCACTTATGCAGCTAAACAGAAAAGGGAGATGTATTGGGAACTGCTGGAGCGGGAAATTGGTCATATGTGTGAGGGAAGGACAGAGCCAGAGTGCCTCAAGTAGTCAAGCTTACCTCAGTCTTAAAGACATCCTGCCTGGACAATTACAGTCGTTAGTTGCTAGGCAACATTACCTCTCGTGATACTAACTTTGTAAGAGTATAAAATAAATGCTACTACTGTTGAAGTTAGTCCTCTTGCCCATCAGGTAAGAGGTAACTCCACATGACCCTGGCTATTGTCTCGTCTTTATTTTCTAAATCCTCTCGCCATTTTCTCTTGGAGACCACCGAGTCCCATATCTGTAGTGCAGGGAGGGGGAGTGTCCTTGGTTCTTCTCTGCTCCTGCCACAGGGGGTGAGGGGGCACATGGTTCCCCTGGAAGATACATTATCTGAAGATCTTTGCAGTCACTGTCTTTATAAACCTGATCACTTTAT